GAGAAGCTCGGCGCTGCAGCCCGAGCCAGGCGCCCAGGCACCAAGGCAGGGGCTCTCTGGCCCTTGGATGGGCGCTGGGTGGCTACACAGCGGTGTGAAGAGCCTCGGGCTCACCGTGGGGCCCTGCGGGTGGGGCTGCCCGACCCCGGCAGGGGACAGACGCCGTCTCCTTCCTCCCCCTGCCCGAGAAGCCCCATCCGATGGAGTCCGTGGAAGGCCTGAGTACTCCGAGGGACTGGAGCACTTGTAGCTAAAGGCGGGAGCTGTGCACGAATGACCCCTGCTGCAGGTGTGACATTTTCACCTATCTCCTGCACTAGTTCCTTTTCTTGGTCTTTCCCCGTCAATTGTGCCCCCTTCTTGCCCTCCCGCTCTTCCTCTCTCTTCCTCTCCGCCTCCTTTGGACCAAGCCCTCCTTCTCTAGTCTTGTGCGCCCCCTCTTCGCGTCCTAGACCCCCAAAACCTTCTCTAGTGCAGGATCCTCTGCAAAGAGCACTCCCCACACCTGCACCCCCCATGTCTTTTTTTTTGTAGCCTGATATCCACCTTCAGGGACTCCCAGCACTGCCCCAACAGGCAGTACCTGTGGCTTTTCCCTTCCTGCACCATAACACACCCTGCCCAAAATGTTCCTGTGGTCTCCATGTACCAGGGTCTCCCATCCTCATTGGCCAGCCTCAGTCGCTCCGGCCAGTTACTCTCCTCTGTCGTGCTCCTGCTGAATTCTGAGCCCCATCCTCTGTCATTTTCATGATTCTCTGTGCAGGGCGCTCCATCTACTCTGGCCATGATACCGTTTCTGTCCATTCATGATTCTTGATGTCAGCTCCTAAATCTGCAGCCCCCACCACATCCTCTCTCCTGAGCTCCACCCCTCAACTCCCTGTTCCATACACTTTTGTTGTCTTGATCTGTTTTCTCTCACTATAACAAAATAGCTCAGGCTGGGTAAGTTATAAAGAAAGTGAATTTAAGTAGCTCTCGATTCTGGAGGCAGGCAAGTTCAAGACTGAGTGGCTATGTGTGGTGAGGTTCTCATGTTTTGTCAGCGTGGCAGGTGACTTGTTGGGGGATAAAAGAAAGACATGGAAGGTAATGGCCAAGCCTTGTGGTAACTCCCAAATTCAGTACTAAGCTAGTCCTATGAGAGCTAGAACTCTTTCATAGCAGCACTAATCCCTTACTAGTGTTGTGAACTTTGATCTAATTGTTCCCCATAAAAGCACCACCATGCCAAAGCCATTAGCTTGTGGACCTGACCCTCAGCCTGAGTTTTGGCAGGGACGATCCACATTGAGCCACAGCAGCATACACTCCCATGCAGAAACTCAAAGGCCTCAACCTAGACTTTATCCCCAATGCCCCAGTCACTGGGACCAGAGCCTCAATGTGCAACCTGGACTGACCTCTTCCTAATCCTGCTTCAGGGATTGGAAGCAATGGGCAAAAACTTGTGACATCCTACTTCCAAAGCCTTTTCCCTGTTCCTGCCCCTGCGTCTCCAGAACCACCGCCCTCCTGAACCTCACCATCTCTGGTCTAAGGCTTTGTAGCAGTTTCCAGTCCTTCTTGGCCTTCAGTTCTTCCCTCCCGCATGCCAGCTTCTGCTAAGAAAAAGATGCTGTGAGCCACAGGGGAAATTTTCAAATTTCCAGGAGCTTCATTAAAGAAGCCACTGAAATTGTGACCATTAATCCTCACGTGTCAGCCTCATTGGGTTAGGAAATGCCTCGCAGATTGGTTAAGCACACTCACCAGTCTATCTGGGTGGGCCATGGGTGCTTGATATGATTTCGTGGCCATTCCTCCCTAGTGCTGTCCCCTTGTTCTGTGCTCCCACCACACGCTTCCACCAGAACATTACTGCCTTGGACCTGGCTGACCGTGGACCGAATTCCTCCAAACTAAGCCCAATTAAATTTGCCCTCCTTTAAGTTGTCAACATCAAGTATTGTGTCTAAACTTCAAGAAACCAATACAGAAATTAATATTTATTTTACTGAATTGAATATATCAAAATATTTCAACTTGTCATCAACATAAGAATGTTAAGGCATTTTTAAATACGTTTGAGCTAAGTCTTCAAAATATGATGTGTATTTCATTTACAGCACGTTTCAGTTCAGACTACCCAGATTCCAAATGCTCAGTAACCTCGTGTGACTAGTGGCTGTTTTTTTAAGTAGCACAGCCTGACACTGTTGGCAGAAAACGTCTCCTAAAACATAAGGAAGTTGGGCGTGGTGCCACATACCTCTAATCCCAGAACTTAGGAGGCTGAGGCAGAAGGACTGCAAGTTTGAGGTTGATGTGGAAAACTTAGCAAGACAGTATTTCCAAAGAGAATATGTTAACGGATTGGGGTGTCACTCAGTGGAAGAGCACTTGCCTAGCATATCTGAGGCACTGGGTTCGATCCCCAGTACTAAAGAAAGGAAGATATTATTAAATGCCCTCCTCTCAGGCTCTTCAGTTTCCAGTGTGTCCAGAGCTCACGTTCCTTAGAACAGTATCCACATTTCCAGGCACTGTCCAGCCTCCGTGACCTTTCCTACCATGTTCTGTAAGCCTGGAAGGTGCCCTCTGCCGGAATTTCCATCATGGTCTGAGTAAACACCAGCTCTGCCGTGAAGCCTGCCGCACCACCCCACGGCCCTTGATGCTGTGTTCATTACTGTCCCCATCACCAAATGATCTCCATCAAATTCTTTGTCTTCTTGCTGTTGGGGTGGAACTTGTCCCATATCAATTCCGAATTGAGGAGAGGGCTGTGTTTGGAAGGTTCTCCCCTTTACCTTCCTGGCATAATGCTGCTTCAGCCTGTAAGGGAGACTGGCGGCCAGGATTAGCCCTCACCTTACCCCACGAGGAGAGGAAAAAGGCATCCTACGGTGGGAATATGAGAGACAGACAGAAGGAGGTGACAGTTACTGTAACAACGCATGCTCTCAAGAATGCATTCTTCTGGCAGAGTCCTGGCCCTGTTACCAGCAAGTTGAGAAAGCAAACTATACTGTAAGTTATCCACAAGATTACTGTCACCTAAATAAATCAGGTACTTTTTTTTAAGTAACTGTCACAATGAAATAATACTTCAGGAAATATCCTGCTCACATGTGTTCTGCCCCCCCCCGCTCTCTGTGCACCTGGCCTGATGC